AGAGTTCATTATAAACATGGCCTGAGGCTGAAGAGAGTGCTCTTTACCTTTTGTTGGATTAGTTTGGAGTAGGAGCTGCATTCCATGACACAAGGCCCACTCCAAATGACCTTGCACAAAAATGGTTGGATGGTTTATAGATTCTAGCCCTACAACTGGACAATAAGCCCATAGCGTGGGTGTCTAGCAGCTAGTGCATATATATGTGCAGACTGTTATTGGACAAAGTCATTGGGGTCAGTTAAGTGCTCCTGTTTTCAGCTCTTCTGGCCTAAGGGGTCCACCTGCTCCTGTGTGGCCTCTAGCTAGCTGTATAAAAACTGGCCACCACAGGGACTGCTATTGCTGTTGGTATCAGGATGCGAACCTGTACTGGAACTTGGTCTTCTGGCACCGTGTAGGGCTAAGGAGCAGACCAGGAAGAGCTAACTGTCTGCAGAGTGTAAGTAGGCAGCCAGCAGACCATGCTACAAGTTTAGCTAGATAAAGGACTGCTGAACAAGATTAAGTAATTTTATGTTATATTTCTTATTTTAATATATTCAAGAATTTTATATATTTATGGCAGAATCAGAATATATGCAAATGATCCAAATTAGTTCCCCTACATTTCAATATATTTTGATATTGTTTAGGCCAAAGAGAAGTTAGCACAAATAAATATGAGGTTCTAGCTTACCATGAATTTAGGTAAATGGCATGTCTTTTGCTATATGATAAAGAAATGAGCTATTCGTAACATATATCTGGATGTTTTCATTTTAAATTGTTCAATGTCCTTAAGATATATTTTATTTTTTATTTGGTTAGTTTGTTCATAATTTCTTGTAATATACATTTGCATCTATGGGGGAATTTCAAATTATAGATTTTCAAGTATTAAAGTAGAAGCATGTTAAAAAATAAGTAATCAAGACATGGATAACATGAGATTCTCATTCTCCAAAAGTGGACAGTATTACTAATTAATTGAAACATTTTTTTGAGTTTGATTATTTTGAAAAGTGGTCAAAGACTACTTTGCAATAGTCATATTCATATGACTGGCGAGCTGGTGCCCACTTTGTACATCAATAAACCATTTGCAGAACAACTTGCTAGTATAAGTTATTTCATAAAAATCTTTCCAAGATAAGAAGTCCAAAGATTAATTATCCACTGTTCTCACCTTATTTGCTCATTCTGGACAGAATTTTAAAGTGTGTTCTTGTGCATATGTAGCGTGGTGTTTTCTGCTGGATGATTAACCAGACATAAAGGTGTAGAGTTCCAGAATTTGGAATGTATGCTTCAAACATCTGGAGCTATATACATATGGGGCATATACAGCTGTGTTTATTTCAATGATTACACATTTACATGACTATAATACATTTATTTAAACGTATCATCTGATATATCTGAGAATATTCAAACAAATGCATTTGCTGTAGTTATTTAAATGTGCAGTTGAAAGGATTCAAACAAATAATTCACTCTTTTTATTTAATCTTACAGTATTTATTTAAATAATGTGCTTATTAATATATGATTATAGTATTTTCTTTTTCGTCTAAAGCCAAATATTTTAGAAGATCAAAGAAGTAATGGGGATCATGAGTTATACAAAATCAAAAAAAAATTTGTGCAGAGGTATTCATAGTTAGCAAGCTTTCAGAAGAATTGAAAATTCAGCAGGAAAGAGAATAAAATCATTTGCAATTGGAATGTTTCTATTATTCCAACAATTTTATAGTGTGGTGAACATTTGAATTGAATCTCAAAGCATTTCTTTGAGAATACCCAAAGGTATTTTGGTTTATTTTTTCTTTCTTTCTTACTACTACTGTATCTGACAAGATAAATACTTCTGGGTGTTGGTTTCGTATAGTCAGGAAAGGGTTTCACTATATTAATCCCTCACCCCCTAATCTGGTTAAGAGTATTAAAATAATCTCATTTAACTGTACTTTTATTCTGGGAGAGGAACTGGAGACCAGCGAGTGATTTAGGAGGATAGAAAATAAAATTATATCGTGGATTCAATTTCTGGCTCTCATATTCTGGGAGATTTCAGAGAACCTTCTAGTTAGTTTCTTTTTGTATTGTATTTCCTTTTTATTTGTTTATCTACTTTTAGAGAGAGGAAGGGAGGGAGAGAGAAAGAGAAATATCAACGTGTAGTTGCACCTCAGGTGCCAACTAAGGGGGACCTGGCCCGCAAACCAGGCACATGCCCTGATTTGGAATCAAATTCGTGACCCTTTGGCTCACAGGCTGATGCTCAATTCACTGAGCCACTTTTGCCAGGGCCCATATTTCAGTACTTTTCTTTTTTTAATTTAATTTTATTATTATTAAAAATTATTTTGTTGTTGTTCAATTACAGTTGTCTGCATTTTCTCCCTACCCCTCAACCCACCCCCTCCAAACCCACCTACCTCTCTTGCTTCCACCCTCTCCCTTGGTTTTGTCCATTTGTCCTTTATAGTAGTTCCTGAAAACCCTTCCCACTGTCCCCTCTCTCCTCCCCCTGGCTATTGTTAGATTGTTCTCCATTTCAATGACTCTGGTTATATTTTGTTTGCTTTTTTTGTTGTTGTTGATTATGTTCCAATTAAAGGTGAGATCATAAGGTATTTGTCTTTCACCACTTGGCTTATTTCACTTAGCATAGTGCTCTCCAGTTCCACCCATGGTGTTGCAAAGGATAGAAGCTCCTTCTTTCTCTCTGCTGCATACAATTCCATTGTGTAAATGTACCATACTTTCTTGATCCACTCATTTGCTGATGGGCACTTATAGCTTCCCATACTTGGCTATTGTAAATTGTGCTGCTATGAACATTGGGGTGCATAGGTTCTTTTGGATTGGTGTTTCAGGGCTCTCAGGGTATAATCCCAGCAGCGGAATTGCTGGGTCAAAAGGTGGTTCCATTTTCAGTTTTCTGAGGAAGTTCCATACTGTTTTCCACAGTGGCTGCACAGTCTGCATTCCCACCAACAGTGCAGTAAGGTTCCCTTTTCTCCACATCCTCTCCAACGCTTGTTTGTTGATTTGTTTATGTTGGCCATTCTGACTGGTGTGAGGTTGTATTTCATTATGGTTTTAATTTGCAGCTCTCTGATGGATAGGGATACTGAGCATCTTTTCATGTGTCTCTGGGCCCTCTGTACTTCCTCCTTGGAGACCTGTTTTAAGTCTTTTGCCCATTTTTTAATTGGGTTGTCTTCCTGGAGCAGAGTCATGTGGGTTCTTTATATATTTTGGAGATCAAACCCTCGTCCACGGTATAATTGGCAAATATATTTTCCCATACAGTTGGCTCTCTTTTCATTTTAATGCTGTTTTCTTTAGCCATGCAGAAGCCTTTTAATTTGATGAAGTCCCATTTGTTTATTCTTCCCTTTATGTCCCTTGCTCTAGGGGACGTATCCATGAAGATGTTGCTGCATGGAATGTCTAAGATTTTCCTGCCAGTTTTCCTCTAGGACTTGTATGGTGTTACAACTTATATTTAAGTCTTTTATCCACCTGGAATTTAGATTTGTGCATGGAGTAAGTTGGTGCTCAAGTTTCATTTGTTTGCACGTAGCTGTCCAGTTCTCCCAACACCATTTGTTGAAGAGGCTATCTTTACTCCATTTTATGTTACTGCACCCTTTGTCGAATATTAATTGACTGTAGAGACTTGGGTTTATTTCTGGGCTCTGTGTTCTGTTCCATTGGTCTATGTGCCTGTTTTTATGCCAGTACCAGGCTGTTTTGATTGCAGTGGCTTCGCAATACAATTTGATATCAGGTATTGTGATCCCTCCTGCTTTGTTCTTCTTTTTCAAAATTGCTGCAGCTATTTGAAGTCGTTTATGGTTCCATATAGATTTCTGAAATGTTTGTTCTATATCTGTGAAATATGTCATGGGTAATTTAATAGGGATTTCATTGAATGTATAAATTGCTCATATCTCCTTTCTTAAGGACATTTTTAAATTAGGCTGGACTGGCAGTGGTTTTCAACTTTTTCATCTTATGGCACAGATAAACTAATTTCCAAAATTCTGCAGCACATCAAAAATATTATATTTTTTGCCAATCTGACAAAGATAATAGGTGTAGTTTTGATTTATTCACACTGTACAGCTAGTGTTCTGTTGGTTGTTGTAAATTTTTAAGTTTGACAATCTAAGGGAAAAGAGGTCAGTGCCCCTGACTAAATAGGGTCAGGATTGCATATTTTAAAAATTCTTACAGCACACTGGTTGAAAATCATTGGACTAGAATAAAGTGACATAGTTGAGCAAGAGAAAAATTAAATGGGAAGTTGCATAATTTTAAAAAGAATTTTAATTTACCACAAATATAAAAATACTGATGACAGCACTTTTTCATTAGTTGAATTATTGAATAAATGCAACCTTTCTAAGCCTCACTTTCAGCATTTGTAGGTTATACATAATATCTCTCATTGTGTGTTGTGAGGATTAAGTGAGTCTAAATTATCCAGTTGTGAAATTATAACTAATAATATTTCTTCCCATTTTGTAGATGTGAAAACTGGATTCTTGTCCATACTTCTCAATCTTAGTTATTGGTTGTATTTCAGGAATCATCTTTTCTATGTTGATTAACCTGTTTGAAGCTTGAATTGGCAAACGACATTGCTTTCTGAGATAGTTCATACTGGATGAACAGTTCATACAGTTCATACTGAATCTCCAGGATGATCCCTGGAGATTGTGAATGGGTACTCTGTTGGGTGGGAAGAGTTCAATAATCAAAACAACGCACTTCTGTGTTCTATATTTATAAAGCAAATCGCAGTTCTTGTTTTGAATTTTTACAGTCACATTTTTCTAGGCAGGTATTTCAGACTAGGATTCCAAAGGATGCTAAGACCACAGGGAAAACGCATTTGTGTCCAGGACGAGCGTCGAGGCGGGAGAGAGACTGGCCAATCGGAGCTCAGGCTGAGGACTTGTCCCGCCCCCTTTGGACGAGCACCGCCTCTTTTCCGTCCAGCTCTCTGGGAGTGGAGGGGTGTCGCTGGCTCGTCTAACCCCTGCCTCTAAGTGACAGGACCCTGTACAGCAACACTTCTAGCCGGTCACGAAGTTTGTCGGTCCTTGCTTTGGCTGAGCTGAGGTGTGAGTGTGTGTATGTGTGTGTCCGGAGAGGGTTATTTCTGGGAGGCGGGGGAGGATCTGGCTAGGAAGCTCGGGATCCGGGATTGAAGGCGTTTTGGAGACGATCTTTCCGCTTCTGGGGACGGCATTTGGGCGGGCTGGGCTGAGGGAGGATCTGGAAGAGGAGGAACCGGGCTCTGGGAAACCCAGTAGGTATGGTAATGACTTAAGGACCCGTTCCAGCGAACTGGGCGCTCACGGTGGGGGTGGGAAATAGCCTGTGCGGGATTCAGGCTGGCGGTGGGCTTGATTGCCTCGGTTGCTAAGGAACGCGTGGTTTCCGCTCTGCCAAAGTGTGGGGCGGAGGCGGCTGGGCCCAGAAAACCTAGCCACGCCCACCTCTCCAAGGCCTTCAGCTAGGGATTGGCCCCTTTGTGCTGTCAGTTAATACGTGTCCGTTTATTTCATTCTTCAGTTCAGTGGGTTGTGTAGTTCTGGCTCTGTCGTTCATCTACCATTTTATGACTCCCCACACTTTCCATCTTCCCTTCTTAATCTACAAGTATCTGTAGACTAAAACATTTGCCGAGAAGCTTTAGGCAGCGTGAGGTGGTTTTATTAGTGGCGGATGGAGTGGGGGGAGTCTTTTTCCCAGTGCTTGATGAATCACTGAACCCGCAAGGGTGTCCACGTAGATAACTAGGAGTAGGGGCCTGAGAGATCTGGATTCTTGTATGTAGAATTCTTTTTCTTGCTGCTGCCTGTTTGATCTCAATGAGCTTCTCGGGAAGTTGAGGCAATTCATTATTGGACAATATATGTATGATCTCCCTTTCAGACCGTACTGTAGAACGGGCTGATACTAGCATATAAATCCCCATTTTACTTAATTCGCCCATATTAAATAATTAACTATGAAATGGTAACCACAAATAACCATTTTAAATCTCTTCTTTGCTGATAGCAGCTGTTCCCCAGTGGTTCAGCAGCATAAACATTCCAGAGAAAAAACAAAGGAGCTAAAAGTCTGCTTTTACTTCCCTTCTGCTAGGTGTATTGTATACATTTCCAAGAAGGAAGCTTTTATAGCTCGTTAACACTGGGAAGAACTTTGGCCTATAGATGTGGAAACTGGCAGGATTAGGGAATGTTTGTCCTTAGGCAAACCTCATAACTGTTATCCACAAAGTGGGGATATTTATGTGCCCTTTGTTCCTAAAAAGTAAGGAGGATAATTGATTGTGAAAATATTTTTAAAGTAATGATCTACACAGATGTAAAGTGTTATTGATTAGAGTTTCATCTCTCCTTTTGTCTATAAGATCTGAATTTTTAAACATAATGTGATTATGATCAATCAGCTTAAAATATTTTCAGACTTCCTTGTAATTTCTTTTTTATCTTTGGGATATTTAGAAATAGGGAAGAAACCAACTCTTCTCTCCATTATTGATTAGTTCTGGTTAGGTGCAGCAGGAATGTCATGCATGACACTTTTTTCCCCTGACATCACTAGATTTTTTTCAAGATTATATATATCCTGAAAGGATTGAGAAAGATTACCTTGTAATCCAATGATGAATATCTTTTGGATTCATTTACCAGACTGGTAACATATACCAGTCTGAGAAGCCAAGGAAAGCTATCGACTCTCCTCTTAGAAAAAGACAAATTTGAAGCATAAGTGGACGCTAGATTAAGAACATGTGTTTTCGATCAACTTCTTAAGTAAAAAGGAAATTACTCTTTCCCTTTGCTCATCCCACAGAGAGACTGGGTAACTTATACCCGAAGCTACATAGTTGGGAGCAGAATTGGATATTCTTTCCTCCAGAGTGCATTTTACTGTAGTTTACTTTAGTTCAGGGTCTTCAGTCAATCCCCAATCCTTTCTCTTTTTTTTTCTTTTTTTAAACATTTAGCAAACAGGAAGTACCATTGCTCAATAAATTGTTGTTCTTTCAACACCATGTCAGCTGTATTTTATTCCAAATTACTTTGATCATTCTCTTAAATCATATTTCTGTATTTGAGAAAGTAAAGAGAATTTATCAAATATTTTGGGAAAATATTAAATTGAATTTTTCAAGTAAACATTAAATCCATAAATTTTCTCTTTGATCAGGGTCCATTCTGGACAAAGAAAAGATGCCATTACAATATGACTACCTGACTTGTAAAACTCTTTTCTTAAACTTAAATGAATAATCTTTTATAACATTTTAATTTCCTGTGGCTAAAAAATATTGTGGTTGGTTCCACTGGGATTGTTTTCCTCATTTCTTTATTAAAATAGAAGGCTATAAATGGTTTTCCTCCCAAGTTCCTTTATCTAGCTTTATCAATAAAAGTGGGCATCAGTCATGGATATTGTCATCAGATATGGAAAACAATTTGGAAAAAGTATATGGCTTTTGTAATACACAACAGTATATAGGAGTACCTGTTGTTTCTTTACCACTTACAATTTTATTCAAATTGGTTAGTATGTTAAAAGAAAAACTGAGAGATATTAAAATGTTCGAGAGTTTATTTGAGCAAAAATTGATTTGAATTGGACAGCATTCAGTCTAGCAAAAGGAGCTAGTTTTTTTAGGCAGAAGGGAATGGGAATGAGGAATTTATACTGGCAAAAAAAAAAGGGTTGATTATTGTGAGGTTACTTTCCTTTGCAGGGGTTGGGGAGATGGCAGGGGCCTATCAGGCAGATTACCTCACTAGTTGGTGCTGATCAGGTGATTCTTGATAGATTGGTTTAAGATTCCTGTTCTGGAAGAGCTGAAATCGTAATGGAGTTGTGGGTTGGTGATGTGGGGCTGAACATAAGCAACTCCATTTTGGGCCTGTTTTGTTTTTAACAAGTATTTATCCTTTTCTTTACTCGCTTCATTTCTGATAAAGAACTGGAAATAAGGACGAATAGATTAGAGAATGACAGCTTTTAGGGGAGTAGTAAATAATAGCTCATTCTGTTTCTTGGGTTTGTCAATAGACAAGTGAAGTTTGCATTATCAGTTTTGTTACTAAGGAGCTGATTGGACATAGTACTTTATATTGGAGACCATAAATGAGTTCTAATACCTCCTGTCCCCTACTTCTTCTACTCCCTTTCTCAGAACCTAGATTTCAGTTCAGAGTTACTGCTCTGCATGGCCCAGGGCAGAGAGAGAGTAAAAGAGGGCTTTAGTGCTTACAGGTTTATAATAGGGTATCTGTACCCATTGGAATAATATGGACCAATGGATTTTTTTCTACCTATCAGATCATTTATATTACTAGGAAGCTGTGACTAAGGAGCAAGAAACCAGGATGTTAATCTAGTACTCCAGAGATTAATTAGGGTGATGCCTCTGAGCCATTTGAATAATGTGGAGGTGATTTAAAATTATTACAATGTCTTTAAAAAACTCTACTGGTTTAGGGACTGTACAGTTTAGGGATGCTAAATATTGTGTAATGTAGAGGTCCACTAGCTCAGAGAATTTCCTTCTCCTACCTCAAGGCCAAAAACATCTTCACTGAGGACCACAGTTCCAGAGGAAGTTCCTTTATGTAGAAACACAAGGCTAGTCTTCCTCCCTAGTCTCTGTTCCTTGTATCCATGTTTTTAATATCAGTAGATTTGGCTCTAAGTGAAGGTCTTAATGAAAATTTGGCTTAGAATATAGTTATTTTTTTATATTCTTTCAGAATGACTAAAATGATATTAATGGAAAACAGTGATACATATTTTATCATATTTGATATTCTCAGGACATTTCTTACTTGACAAATAAGAATCAGAGAGTCTTAGAACTAAATCTTTTTATACAATACATATCACTACATTTAATCCTTTCTTATATGGTAGAAATGTGAAGTCTCTTTGCTACAATAGAGTGAGATAGATGTATGTTTTCAGGAAAAAGAAAAGTTTATCCTTAGCTTACCTCTTTTGAAATGTTAACAATAGTAGAAAGGTAATACTCTGTACTCCAAGGTTTAACAAACACTGTTTTCTTGAATCAGAAGGTGGAGACAGTGCCATAAATGAGAGGATCTTGTCATTTTCATGGTTTTCAAGCCACTGAACATGGAGAATGACAGCAGGAATAAAAAAAGTTTTATTCTTCTATAGTAATATTATATAGTGATGTAGTTGCAAAAATAACAGACCATTTAAATTGAACAATTTAAAATTTAAGCAAAGACAGAAGGCAGATGGCTTAATCCAAAGAATATTTTTACATACATTGAATATTAAAAATATTTATGTATCACATTATGTAGAATAATAAATTGTATGGATACTTGTGGCAAAATCCTTATTGTCTATTTCAGTTTATTACCTGCACCAGGTAGAAGGTACTCTGGACCAAAAGTTTTAGAGTTGGCTCCAGTGTAGACATATCGTTTGTTGGGTTTTATAATGTTTCCAGGCATCGAGTTCTTTCATTGTCCATGGAAAGAGTTGATTTGTGATTTGCTACCACTTTTTTTTCTCAAGAATATGCTTGCATGTTATAATTCATTCTCATTATTCACAGTGATTCTCTCTGGGCAGCATAGATCATTTCTTCCAGATGGGAAGCTACACTTTTAAAAAGGACCTCCCAATTTCTGCTTCTATTCTGTCTGTTTCCAGAGGTCCGTTCTGTCTCTTCTCTCCTCAACATGGCCCTGCCCATGTGTATGCACATTTTGTAAACACTGGAGCATGTAGAAATGATCTGTATGCTCCCTTTCAATGCCAAAATGTTCTGGACCATAAATCCCATAAAACTGAGGGAAATGAAATCAGTAGAAGACTCAGAGACATACCCATGAAAATCTAAGAAGTTTAAGCTAAGAAGAACATTTAAGAAGATTCTTGGACATCTTACATGTACAAGACTACATGGCGTCTGTGGGTAGGAGAACTGTGTGTAAAAAGAACAGATAATGATTAAGTGGCTGGGAATATAGTAAGGTAGAACAAAAAGATGAAAAAAAACTGAAAATTTGAGAACTGGATTAGTTTTGTGTTCCAGCTGTAACAAA